AAAAAGTAAAAATACATAGGTGGTCCGCCTTTTGATCTTATTTGTATGGTATATAATTTTTTTGTGAAAACTTATATTACAGGTGCTATAACGGGTCAAAGGTCAGATCTTCGAAAAGTTAAAAACTTAATATTTCAGAAAATTTTTAACTGGTTTTAAAAAATTCATATCGTTGTAAAGATGATTTACCCCCTTTCTTCCTATATGCATATTTGTGAATAAAAATTTGAGAAAAGAGGAAAAAATAACTTTTTTTATCAAAAAAATTTTAAACAAAAAAATTACTCACCGATTTTTAAAAAACTGGCATACTAATTAGTAATACAATTGATTACCGTATTTAAATAAAACAAGTATTTATTAGTGTTTTAAGCATTAATTCACCTCTCTCATAATCGCCTTTACAGCGGTATAAATTTAAAAAAAAAAAAAAGTTATTTTTTCCTTTAAATGGGGTTTTTTCAAATTTTTATATACGAAGTATACAAATATGCATTTCAGAAGAAAGGGGTTTAATCGCCTTTACAGCGATACCAATTTTTTACAAATCGGTTAGTATTTTTTTTGTCTAAAATATTTTTTTTTATAAATAAAAAACGGTATTTTTTCCTTTAAATGTGTTTTTTTATTCTTATATACGAAGTATACAAATATGCATATCAAAAGAAAGGGGGTTTAATCGCCTTTATAACGATTTCAGCCTTTTAAAAATCGGTTAGTAATTTTTTTGTTTAAAATTTTTTTTATGAAAAAATTTATTTTTTCTTTAAATATGTTTTTTCTCAAATTTATATAAACGAAGTATACAAATATGCATTCAGAAGAAAGGGGGTTTAACCGTCTTTACAACGATAACAATTAAAAAAAAACTGTTAGTAATTTTTTTGTTTAAAATATTTTTTTTATAAAAAGGTATTTTTTCATTTAAATGTGTTTTTTCCAAAATTTATATGTACGAAGTATACAAATATGCGTATCGGAAGAAAGGGGGGTTTAATCACCTTTACAACGATAAAAATGTTCAAAATTGTTTGCAATATAAGGAATTTAATTTTTCGAAGGCCTGAACTTTGACCCCTTATAGCACCTGTAATATAAGTTTGCACAAAGTTTGCAAAGTTATATACGATTTAAATAAGAGCAAAAGGCGGACCACGTCCATATTTTTATTTTTTTAGCTGTTTACATACAATAGTTAAAAATAATTTTTTACCAAAGGTCCTATTTCGATCTTCAAAGGCCCATACCTCGATTTCGGAGGCCAACTTCGAAAAACGGAGAAATCACTGTTTTACCTATGACTCAGGCTCTTAAAAAAAATTGGTTTGGTCCAAGAAAAAAAGTTGATTTTGCCGTACAGTGTAATAGGTGCCTGGACAAACACCATTGTAAGTTGATAAAAGCGTTGTAAAATAAATATGTATGTTAATTAGAAATTTTACAGAAACTTATAGCTGCAAAAACAATTAATAGTTTTCCAAAATAGAACTAGGTATACGACTCTCTCGTTTTATCAAAATTATGCAAATCGATTCAATAGATTTTTGCATAATAATAAAATTGTATGTATTAAGTAGCATAGCTTCAATTAAGAAAGCATTTTAAATGCTTATATGTAATGTAACTCAAAATCGTATTTATGCTTGAATTTATTTAATTATCGAAATATATGAATTCCTCTGCAATAACGACGCAACTCAAAATTCAAAAAATCAAATCCCTTATTACTGTTCAGAGGCTCATGTCTCTAATCCTTGGCTTGGCTTAAAATTTCATACGTAGGTAGCTTTTTACTTAGATTAGCATATAGGATCCTTTTTTCCGCGAAGTGGACCAGAAACCGGTCTATTCGAAAAATCCGTTTTTTTTAAATTTGCTTGAATGTCTTTATAATTATTCTGTAGGTGTGTTTGTGAGTGAAATCCTCCTAAATGGTTGTACGGATTTTTTTTTGTGTGTTTGAGTTGGCCTCTGTATGGTTTAGTTTCACAATTCAATTCGCCAGTTGGCGCTGTAGTTGAGTTATTACTAAAAATCAAATTTATGATCCGATTTGGCTAATATTTTAAATATGTATTGGTAATGGTAAGAGCAATACTATTGCAAAAACGAGCTGCCAAGTGGCGCTGGAATCGAGTTATTACTAAAAATCAAATTTATGATCCGATTTGGCTAATATTTTAAATATGTATTGGTAATGGTAAGAGCAATACTATTGCAAAAACGAGCTGCCAAGTGGCGCTGGAATCGAGTTATTACTAAAAAAAGCCAAGTGAGAAAAAGTGCCGTGAAGGTCAGATTAAATCGACCTGTTGCACCATTGAGTATATCGAACTCTACTGTGTTACGATTGGCGCAATGGATGTGATTTTCCATTATTATTATGCGTCCCAGCTTTTAAGGCATTTCGTGTGAAATAAGTATATGTATGTACTAGCAGACCCGGCGAACTTCGTCCCGCCCAAAATTTTTATATATTTTATTGAAACTTTTTGGTCCAAGATTTTCACCAACAATTCACGTTTACAATTTTCATATGCACATTCGTCTGCTAAGATTATGGTTTGGTGGTCATTTGCCGCTTTAAATAACCTAAGGAAAGTGTTATATCGTGAAGAAGTTCTTGAAATTCTCCAGTTGTGCGGCATTTTATAGCACGGTTATTCGCAAAGCGAAATAAATTTTTTCCTCTTCACCCACTGGCGGCAACAATGACCCGGTTCTATAGTGAATGTCCTAGAAGCTTTACAGTATAGTTGGTGGCAATTTCAAAATGGGTGCGAATCAATGTTCTACAGAAATGCAATATACATATACTTATTTCAGACGAAATACCTTAAAAGTTTGAACGCATAATAATATTGGAAAATCACATCCATTGGGCCAATTGCAACGCAGGAGCGTTCGATATACTCAATGGTGCAACAGGTCGATTTAATCTGACCTTCACGGCCCCTTTTCTTACTTGGCTATTTTTTGTAATAGCTCGACTTCGGCACCACTTGGCAGCACGTTTTTGCAATAGTATTGCATACATATTTAAAACATTAGCCAAATCGGATCATAAATAAGATTTTTAGTAATAACTCAACTACAGCGCCAACTGTCGGATTAAATTGTGAAACTAAACCATCCAGAGACCCACTCAAATACACAAAAAGTTTCGTTAAAATCCGTACAACCATTTAGGAGGATTTCACTCACAAACACACCTACAGAAGAATAAACAAATTCATTCAAAGATAGCTAAAGGTCGGTACGTTTGTAGGCCTCACACCCCTTTTCAAATAACCCAAATTTTCTCCATGAGTATGGGCTTGATTTCAACTATATACATATCTCCATACGAAGTTCCAGTACTGTACCATGAATACTTTCAGAGATATGCAGTATAAAAATTCGATTTATATGGGAGGTGCCACGCCCCCCTTTCCAACAGCTGCCCTCTTTCTTCATGAGTATGCGATTGATTTCGTATATCTCCATACCAAGTTCCAGAACTCTACCATGAACACTTCCAAAGATAGGCAGTATGAAAAATTCGGTTTGTATGGAAGATGCCACGCCCCCTTTTCCAATAGTTCCAATTTTTCTCCAAGAGTATGCGATTTATTTCGTACATCTCCATACAAAACTCTAGAACTCTACCAAAAAATTTCCAGAGATAAGCAGTATGAAAAATTCGGTTTGTATGGGAGATGTCACACCCCTTTTTACAATAGCTAAAATTTTTCTCCAAGGGTATGCGATTGATTTCGTATATCTCCATACCAATTTCCAAAACTCTACCATGCACACTTTCAGAGATATGTAGCATGAGAAATTCGGTTTGTATGGGAAGTGCCACGCCCCCTTTACATATAGATTTTTTTCAGCCTAAAACCATCCTTGGGACACGTGCGGCAGGTGGCAGTTTCAAAAAAATCGGTTCAGCCGCTCTCGAGCCTTGCGAAAACTAACAAACGGCTTTCTAAATATATATTAGTTGAGATATATTATATATTATAATTATATTTTGACAGTATCCGTTGTTTCTGATTGGCGCAAAAAAATCTTGCCTAGTGACGAATTCGCCCCTTGATATGGTCGTTACTTAAAGCTATTTATATTCGAAATTGCATGAAAATTGGAAAACAGGAATCTATAAGCTTATCCAGGCAAAAAGCTACCTACGTACCGAATTTTAAGCAAATCGGACCGTAAATACGATTTTTTCGAATAGATCGGTCCCTGGACCACTTCCTGGAAAAAATGGATCATATATACTAATATATGCTAAAAAGCTACTTACGTACCAAATTTTAAGCAAATCGGACCGTAATTAGATTTTTTCGAATAGACCGTTCCTTGGTCCACCTACCCGAAAAAAGTAAAATTTTTTTAGCCTAAAACATGGTGGTTACTAAAAGCTATTTATGTACAAAATTTCATGAAAATCGGACCAGCCGTTCACGAGATTACCTGTTACAAAAAAAGGGACTTCTCTTTATATAATTAGTATATATATTGCATTTCTGTAGAACAATGATTCGCACCCATTTTGAAATTGCCACCAACTAAACTATAAAGCTTCTAAGACAGATTCACTATTGAACCGAGTCATTGTTGCCACCAGGGTGTGAAGAGGAAAATATTCTTCACATTTTTTATTTTTTTTGCGAATAACTGTGAAATGCTGCAGTTGGAGAATTTCAAGAACTTCTTCACGGATATAACACTTTCTTTAGGTTATATAAAGCGGCAAATGACCACCAAACCATAATCTTAGCAGAGGAATGTGCCAATGAAAATCGTTAACGTGAATTGTTGGTGAAAATGTTGGACCAAAAAGTTCCAATAAAAAAAAAATAAAAACTTTGAGCGGGACGAAGTTCGCCGGGTCTGCTAGTCAGTAATAAAAATATAAGATACCATGCCTATTAAGTAATATATTTTTTTAAGCATAAACTAGCCTAGTAGCTACAAATATTTATCAGCGTGTTTATCATTTTACATTGTAGATTAACGCATCCAAATATCGTACAACTCTTGGAGACCTTTGAAGACAAGTCGAAAGTTTACTTGGTCATGGAATTGTAAGTAATAATTTTTTATATTAAAACATTTTATTTTTATTATACAAAACCTTACAGACAACTAAAAAGAAAAAAAATATTCAAGGTATTGGTAAGACATAAGTCTTGAGAAAGAATTGATCTTTAAAAGGCGAAGTCTGGATATATTTTTCTAGAGATGCCGTGTAGCTCGTTAAGTTCTCTTGTAATAAGAGCAAAATTTTAAATCACAGCACAGTGGTCTTTGAGGAATGTTAAAGCTTATCTGCTCAAGAAGGTCAGGACAATTGACGAGACCATAGACAATGTCGCAGATAAATGAATAAATAGTTTAAAATTGGTGAATATATTTTATAATTTATGTACTTTTTGTACAAAGTTTGAAATGCATTTATATGCAGTTTGTCATATGTAGAATGAGCTGGACTTTAAAAATTTCAAATATTAAATAAACAAAAGAAATGGTATAGACAAAACTGGCCAAAATAAGGCGTTTCTTATATTTCAGCCACTAGCATAATGAACATCTTTCAACCACAAAATTCATTTTTTGACTTTTTTTGCATCGTCGGTGCCCGTAGAAAGTGTTTTTTTTTTTTGAAATTTCAAGACCCTACCTCCTAATTTTATTCGTTTTTATGAGAAATATTATTGCCTCCCCCCGTGGGGGGAAATATGCATAAAAATTTGGCCAACAAATATTTTAAGATCTCAAATATTTAAGATCTCTTTTCAGAGATAGTAGTTGAGATATCTAGGTTTAATTTAAGCCAGAAAGGTTCTTTCACCTTTTGTTTCTTTGCGAGAGCTTCTAAAATATTGCAAAAACTGCGATTTTTTGACACTTTGACCTCGTTTTTTTTTCAAAATCTGGAGCTGATGGAAAATGCAAATGCTGATGCAAAAAAAACCTATCAAAAACAGCTTTAACATTTTCCGTACAAAAATGTGTTTATATTTTTGTTGGGCTGTGCTATCCATTAAAAAAATGGGCAAAAATTCAGATTTCCGTTTTTTCTACAGAAATGTGTCCTTATGTGGTCTATAACACCCTTCGCTTCCCTATTTATTTATAGTTTTGCAAAATAATTCAATTAATATCATCATGCATGTGCAGTAGACTGCGCCTTATTTTGCACCTTTGTTCTACAAAGCAAGACTCTCCCCAAAAAAGTGTAATTTGGTCATAAAAACATGACCTGCCAAAAATTTTTAAGCGGATAACGGAATTTTTCACAACGCGGTCAATATTTTGCCTATACATCAGTGGAATGTTAATATATTTTAATGGCACTTTATGGAGTTTTACCCCCGATGTCAAAAATAGCTAAACCTCCCCATCCTTTTAAGTTATTGAGGTTTTTTTGGGGAAAAGCCGTCAGGCCTTTCGAAAAATTCAATATGGCATCTAGACAAACCGTAAATTGGATTTTGCTTTACAAATTTTGTGCCACCGGAGAACCCAACACTAAAAGAGAAAAGTTCCCTATAACTTCCGCATTTGAATATGCCAGGGGTGGGCAAGGCCAAGGCCAAAAAGAGCTACATACAAATTCTAAATGCTACAAAGAGCAACAAAAAAAAACAACAAAAACAAACATTGTATTTTTAAGTAAAATTATTATTATAAATGAAAAACATTAATTTTATTATTATTCTAATGTACGTAAGATATGTAGATATTAAAGAAAATTCAAAGACCCCTCTGGCCAAATTCTCAAAATCTGGTTTTACGTCAGTTAAAGCCGTTCGTAACAGTTCTGTTAAATGTTGGCTAGTCAATTGCGAACGGTATTTTGACTTTACGAATTTCAATGTAAAGTACAAAACTCGCAGTTATACGTTGTACCAAAAATTTAAAATATACGGCACGCAGCTGCTTCCAACAGCGGATATTTTAAATTGCTACTTTTGCCGGAATTCAAACAATGGTAAAGCTTTATGTTGCATTTCCAGTGTCTTATCTTCTTTTAATTCCAAAAACTCCAATTCTTCTTCGATTTTCTTCAAAAGGAGTATTTCGGATATTTTACATTCATCCTCAATTATGTTACATAAAAAGGGGTTTATGAAGTATGCAAACGTATATTTAAATAATTTCAAAGCGGCAAATCTTTTTTCAAAATCTGCTTTTGACTCATGTAGTTTTGCGACATATGGGTCCAATTTATCCTCTTTGACATATGCAATATTTTTTTCTAGCCATGGAAGATGGTGAAATATTCCTTTTTTGAGATCATGTACAAAAAGACGTAGTTTAGCTTCAAAACTTAAAATAATTTGCGACAAATCCAAAACATGTTTATCTTTTCCTTGCAGAGACAAATTCAAGTTTTGCAAATGTTCCATCATATCGGTTAAGAACAATAAGTCAGAAAGCCAATTTTCATTCTCCAATTAAGGGTAATGTTCCGATCTCAATTTGCGTATGTGTATATAAAAATAATAAAATAAAATAAACAACACAATAGAAAAGAATGTCCAGCAAAGAAATATGTATTTTAAAAAGTAAAAAGAGCCAAAATGTTCTAACCAAAGAGAAAGTATAAAGAGCCACACTTTAGTAAGTAAAGGGCATTTGCCTCAAAGAGCCGCGTTTGCCCACCGTTGGAATATGCTATGCATTTTTATCAAAAATTGTTGAAAAATTACGAAAACCATGACAATGCAAAATATTTTTTTTTACTTTTATTTCAACATATTTTGATTAAAAGGAAAATACTGATAAAAATAAAATATTTCACACAAACAACAGAAAATATAATCGATAATCGCATGAGGCTATTGCCTGAAAATTTTAAAATGCACTTAGTGGCATTGTGCTACTATTATAGCACGGCCCAGTAATCATAGTCAACTTATGTACAGTAGACTGCACTCCCCATACAAAAAACCATCGGTACTGTTTTTCAACTGGAATTATAAAATCTATTATATTTTAAGACTTCCACCAAGATATCTCGCAAAAATATTAAGATTTACGTGAGCTGGACCGATTTGAAAATACCTCAAAAAATTTACTAAACAGTTTAAGCTCAAAAAGTTTGCATAAAAATATTTAACAAAAAATTTCTACGGCATCATAATGAGATTTTTGATGCTGTTTTTGAACTTTTTAAACATGAATAACTCAGCCAAACCCTTACCAATTTAGACTTATGAGGTATCATGGGTAAGATATTTTCTCACCCTTTTAATTTCTTTGCGAATAAGCTCTTTCAAAGTATGAAAGAGGAAGGTAAGATATTTGATAAGGAAAAATTTGGGACCTGAATGAGTTTTCCACTGATACCTCATAATTCTATATCGGTAAAGTTTTGGAGCAGTTATTCAAGTTTTTCTTACACAAATCTTTGAAAAAAGTTAAAATACAGCATCAAAAATCTCATTAATATGAGTCCGTTGATACATTTTTTTAATATTTTTATGTAGATTTTTTAAGCTTAAACTGGTTTGTCATCTGAGGGGATTTTTTCCAAAAAATCCTTTAAGAAACTATTTTTATTCATTAAAAACTCCATTTTTAGAGGTATTTTCAAACCGGCCCAGCTCACGTAAATCTTAATGTTTTTCCGAAATATTTTGGCAGAAGTCTTAAAATATACTAGGTTTGGTAATCCCACCGGAAAACCCGCAACTTTTTTGGGTAATGCAGTCTAATGCACAGAAGTCTCCTTCATACCCAAGGCGGGCAGGTCCTCTCATGCCAACCCTTAGGACTTCCGACCCATCAGTCTTACGTCTTTCCTTCTCAAAATTTTAGAGTGGATAGTGGATGATTATGTACGGGGCGTGATACCAACAAGTAGGCTCTCCCCAGCGTAGCATGGCTTTACGAAAGGAAAATCCACGAAGGGCGCCTTGCACTCGCTCGTCGGGTTGGTGGAAAAAAGTTTATTAGATAAAGAGTATGCTCTGGTTGCCTTTGCAGATATAGAAAGCGCATTCAACAATAGAAGAGCTTGGAGTTGACCAGAATGTAGCGGTGCTGATTGAGTCTATACTTGTCAGCAGGACGACAACCGCTAAGCTTGGAAACACCACAATAAGCAGAATGGTCTGTAGAGGCACTCCCCAGGGAAGGGTTCTCTCCCCTCTTCTCTGGAATTTGGCGGCGAACTCTCTGCTGGTGGCTCAAGAGAGGGGGGGTTGCCACGTCACAGCATACGCTGACGACCTGGAAATTGCCGTTAAAGGCAAATACCCAAAAACCCTAATGGAGATTCTGCGCTCTAACATGGCCACGCTTAGAAACTAGACAGAGAGTAGGGGACTCGGAATAAACCCCGAGGAAGCCGAAGCAATTACCTTTACAAGAAAACACAGGCTTCCCATAGTCTTGCCGCTAATCTTTATGGGTGCGGAGATATCCTTGAAGGAGAATGTTAAGTAACTAGGACTCATATTAGACAGGAAACTTACGTGGAAACCTAATATAGAGGAAAGAGTAAGGAAGGCCAAGGTTGCATTATACACTTGCAAACAAGCGGTCGGAATTAAGTGGGGGTTAACACCTCGTATTACACATTTGCTGTACACCTAAATGGTCAGGCCAATACTCTTATATGGAATACTTGTATGGTGGCCAGCAACTAAAAAGGCAAGTTACCTGAAACTATTGAGTAAGGTCCAAAGAACAGCGTTTCTATGCATTTCAGGTGCCTTAAGGATCACCCCAAATAAGGCGCTGGAGGTGATAACCAATTTGCCCGCAATAAACCTGGTAGGAAAATACGCGGCCGCCGATTCAGCCCTCAGACTAAAAAGTATGGTGCTATGGAAGGATCGGCGGTTTGGTCACGCTTCCATACTTCACACTCTGGGTAGTTACAACCAAGAAGTTGACTACTCCGCTCCCAAACCAATCTTCGATAGGCTCGTTGGGACGAGCATCCCGTCAAGAAGAGAATGGCAAACACCAAGACCATGGAGACGGGGGGGAATTGAATTTTTACACAGATGATTCCAAGCTACACAATAGGGTTGGCTACGGAGTTTTCTCTAAGGAACTAGGACTGGAA